AAAAGGGAGACTGTGCCTATGGCTAAGCCAGACTGCCCCAAAGCTTCCCTTTGCTGCACCACGTTGTTGCCCCTGTTTGCATTTTATGTTGTGGCCAATGTGGGTTTTTTTTTTTTTCGCTCTCTGCAGCTATAGGTTTAGTGATGAGATGCTGTTTTTTCCGTATAAATATTTCACAGACTTTACAGTTTCAGGTTGCATTTTTGTGCTGTTGAAATGTTTGTCTCAATCCCAGCCAGCATTTGTGTGCAGAACTTGTGAGTTCTTAGTGGTCCAAATAGAAATGTGGGAAAGGACAACCGGTGAGTCAATGTGGAATCCAAAACTTGCCCAGTTCCACTCCATGCCCACCTTATATCAATGAAGCCCAAGTAAAGTGCTGGCTGGGATCAGATCCAAAGTTGCACCTGTCATTTCAAGCCTGCAAGTCAACATTTCCGACTGACTGAATGAAATGTTGTTAAAAGCTCTCTTGATGCACTTGAATGTACTGATGTACTGTCTTTGTGTTGCAAAAAGCCTCATTCTCATTTGCAGGTTATGTCCTTCAACCTTTAAAAAACCTTTTAGGAGTGGAAACTTTTATTGCCCTTGCTATTACTAACAGCTGCCAGCTGCTGGCTACTCTCATTTACTTTTTGTTTGCTAAACCTTTCTTGGTTAAATTCCTTCTTTTTCTTTCTTTTAGCTATGAATCCAAACGCCTGTAGAGCTACAGGCAGAGGGCTTCAGCCTAAAGGTGTGAGAGTAAAGGAGGTAGCAGACTTTAAAGTTTACACCAAGGGAGCAGGCAGTGGAGCTCTGAACGTCTCAGTCAAAGGACCAAGTGAGTCAGACTGCTCTTTCATCTCGGAATCTTTCATCTCGGAATATTTTTAGCAATTATTTTTTTGTCTTTGTTGTGCTGCAATAACTCGGGCAAAACTAAAGTATAAAAAGTGCCTTAAACATTTGACTTTTTATGTTTATGTTTTAATCCTCAGCCGGAGCAGAGGAGCAAGTCAAAGTGCGTGATGCAGGAAATGGTGTGTACGAATGTGAATATTTCCCCCTTAAACCTGGTAAATACACAGTCAGCATCACATGGGGAGGCCAGCCTATTCCACGCAGGTAGAGTCTGCTTTTCGACTCCAGATATTGAATACTGGGGGAAAAAAAGTATAAAACTTTACCTGTAATCTGATGGTATGATGTTTGCTGCAGCCCTTTCGAAGTCGAAGTGGGTGCAGAGGCTGGTCTTCAGAAGGTGCGGGCCTGGGGTCCTGGCCTAAAGACTGGCATGGTGGGTAAATCTGCTGACTTTGTCGTTGAGGCCATCAACACAGAAGTAGGAACTCTAGGTGAGACACAGAAAAGATACTTCTCAGGAAAGAATATGATCTTTTAAAAGACTCAGATCTGATGAGGAAATGCCATCTTTTCTCAGGCTTTTCTATCGAGGGTCCATCACAGGCTAAAATTGAATGTGACGACAAGGGTGACGGCTCCTGCGACGTACGCTACTGGCCCACAGAGCCTGGTGACTATGCTGTCCATGTGGTTTGTGATGATCAAGACATAAAGGACAGCCCTTTCATTGCCCACATCCTCCCTGCGGCCAATGACGTCTTTCCTGAAAAGGTAATTTCCACTCACTGAATTATCAACCAAATATGGGAGTGTAAACAAGTCATGTTGTCAATGTTTAAATACTTCTTAATGTTGCAGGTAAAAGCCTATGGACCCGGTCTGCAGCCAACTGGTGTCACTGTGAACAAACCGACTGAATTCACCATCGATGCACGCATGGCTGGAAAGGGTCAGCTCAAGATCTATGCTCAGGTAAAGCGAGTAGGAGCTTCATTTTTACAATTCATATTTGTAAGAAAGAATCTCAAAGAGGTTGTTTTTTTGTTGTTGTTTCTTTCTGTCAGGCTGTTTGTGAGAACTGTGAAATTAAAATTTCAAAAAGACAGATTTAGTTCAAATCTTTCAAAATGAGACACGGTTCTTCAGATAAAAGGAAGACATACTGGTGTTGATTTGAGAGTTAATTTGAGGGAAGAGTAGTAAAAGAGTGCATTAAATGGTCGGATCGACTTTTTGTATCAGGGTATGTGTAAACGGACACAGCTGACGTGCTTTTGTATTCTTCAAGGATGCTGAGGGCTGCACAATCAATATCAAGATCACAGACAAGGGAGACGGCACCTTCCTGTGTGTGTACACTCCTGTCAAAGCCATAAAACACACCATCATTATTACCTGGGGTGAGGTCAATGTACCCAACAGCCCCTTCAGGGTAAGGAACACACATCCATGAAAATACACACTTATGACTTTTAATGATACAGTACTTTACTGTTTGAAAACGTGAGAATTGCAGCTCTGCTTGAGTCACTTCACTTCTTACACCTCAAGCATCCTGTGGCTTCATTAGGTGCTGGTTGGAGAGGGTTCTCACCCAGAGAAAGTCAAGGTCTATGGACCAGGAGTGGAGAAGACGGGTCTTAAGGCTAACGAGCCGACATACTTCACAGTGGACTGCAGTGAGGCTGGTCAAGGTGAGTTTACGCAAGAGAATATTTGAAAAAGAAAAAGAAAAAAAAGAAATGGTGGAATTAGCTCCTAAATTATTTGGTATAGCAGTATAGTAAAAAGTAAACAACATATATTAAAAAATGGAAAATTGTATTTTGAATGACCTTGTAAAAAAATACCCATTCTATGGCACCATTAGGAGACATCAGCATTGGCATCAAGTGTGCCCCGGGGGTTGTTGGTCCGGCAGAGGCAGACATTGACTTTGACATCATCAAAAATGACAATGACACCTTCACTGTCAAGTACACTCCCCCCGGTGCAGGCAAATACACCATCATGGTATTGTTTGCTGACCAGGTAAGAATAAAGTTCCCAGTGGCGCTGGCACTAATGGATTGTATTCTATTAGTTGTGACATGGCTGATTTTTATATAATTCTTTCCTGATGGTATTTGTAACAATGTTCTCCACCAGGAAATTCCCGTCAGTCCATTCAAAGTCAAAGTAGATCCTTCTCATGATGCCGGCAAGGTGAGAGCTGAAGGCCCAGGTCTCAATAAAACAGGTGAGATTTAAGTGTAGTTACGTGACAGAAAAGATTATACAGTCAATGCAGTAATAAACACGCCGTAGTCTAACACAACACGCACATGTTGTAGGAGTGGAGGTGGGCGCTCCAACCCACTTCACCATCTACACCAAGGGAGCTGGGAAAGCAAAGCCTGAGGTGCATTTTGCAGCATCGGGCCCAGGGGAGGCTGTCCGTGACTTTGAGATCATTGATAACCACGATTACTCCTACACAGTCAAGTACACTGCTCTTCAACAGGTACTGGAGGTCACTGCCTGGAGTCCTTTGACATTAAACAACATTAAGCATATCTGCACAAGAACTCATTGACATTTGGTTTTTTTCGTGTCTTATTTCCAGGGGAATATGGCCATTTCGGTGACTCATGGTGGAGACCCTATTCCCAAAAGCCCCTTTCACATCACAGTCGCACCTCCCCTGGATATTGGAAAGGTGAAAGTGGAAGGATTAGACACCAGTAAGTTACACACACACACACAGCTTAACTCCTGCCTATGAATGTAAAAGAACTTGAGAACAAAAGTTGAGTATTTTGTTTTTCTCTTTCCTTCAGAAGTGGAGGTGGGCAAGGATCAGGAGTTCTCAGTTAACACAAAGGGAGCTGGTGGGCAGGGAAACGTAGGTGTCAAGATGACCTCGCCCTCGGGCCGACCAATTCCATGCAAATTGGAAACTGACAAAGCCAAAGGAGTCCACAGTGTCAAGTATTTTCCTCCAGAGGAGGGCCACTACAAGGTTGATGTCAGCTATGACGGCAACCCGGTGATGGGAAGCCCCTTTGGGGTTGAGGCAGTAATGCCAGCTGATGCTTCAAAGGTAAAAGCCTGAAACGTCGGACATGTCCTTTAAATATTATTTCTTCAGACCATGGACCGAACTTGTTTTTTCCTCCATTGCAGGTGAGAGCCTTTGGCCCGGGTCTTAAGAAAGGCATTGTTGGCCAACCCGCCCCATTTACTATTGACACAAAGGCAGCTGGTGCAGGAGGTCTGGGCCTGACTGTGGAAGGTCCTTGTGAAGCTAAAATTGAGTGTCAGGACAACGGTGATGGCACATGCTCAGTGACCTACCTGCCTACTGAGCAGGGGGAATACGCCATCAATATCCTGTACGCAGAGCAACACATTCCTGGTTCTCCATTTAAGGCCGCTGTGCGTCCAGCATTCGATCCCAGCAAGGCAACAGCGTTCGGTCCTGGTCTAGAAAAGGCCAGAGCAGGCGAACCAGCTACCTTTACTGTGGACTGCACCAGAGCAGGTGATGCTGAGCTCACCATAGAAATCGTGTCAGACAATGGGGTCAAGGCTGAAGTTCACATCCAGAAAACCGCAGACGGGACCTTCTCCGTGACATACATCCCACCATTCCATGGCAGACACACCATCACCATCAAGTACGGTGGACAAGTCATCCCTCAGTTCCCCAAAGTTCTGCAGGTGGAACCATCCGTGGACACCAGCGGTGTGCATGTGTATGGACCAGGAGTGGAGCCCAGAGGTACGAACGAGAAATAAATCTAATTCAAAGGAGTGGAGCCCAGAGGTACGAACGAGTTTGCAGTACAGTACACACTTAATATATTTATTTTAGGATGAAATAAATCTAATTCAGAGTTTAAAAATGAGTTGGTCACTGGTAAAGTCATATTGGATTGGATTTAGCTTCACCACCTGGTGAAAAAGATAGAACACGTTGTGTCTTCAGTTTGCTAATGTACTATAAACAGGGTAACCAAACACTCCCATCTCTGATTATTTAAAAGCTTATACACATCAAATAACGTCTATAATTAACATTTCGAATGCATATAAATAATCATGTTATATTTTCTTCCAGGAAATGTGTATCATAATTAACTGAATCCAACTTGCTATTGTTAGCCACAATTAGTCTAATAATACAGAACCTAACCACAGCCAATTTTGTTAGCAGTCTCTCAATTAAATTAAAAAAAATTAAAATTAAAATAATTATATATTAAGGTGTGTTGCAGAAAATGCAGTAATCTTAGGGATTAGAGATTCTGCCTAGGTCTTTTTTTTCAAAGATATATTTTAGACATTGCTATTGACTTCCCTCCATACAGTGTCACCTGGCACTCTCTTCTGCCTCTCCTTTTACACGCAACTCTGAATGGAATAAAGCATTATAAGATGAATAAATGAACTAGAGAAAGCACTCTGATTGGCCAGACCTCTGTTAGGGCTGCTCAATTTGCCTCTGTGTCAGTACACTCAAAGGACAATCTCCTATGTAGGTCGCCACAAAGAAAAAAAAAAAAAATCACATTATTTTCTTTCCATAACTTACTGCCCCAGAAAACATAATCAAAAACCACTTATCCCTAACCTTTCGAATCACCCTACTCGAAAACATTACAATCATTAGAAGAAAAAGGCTTCTCCCTGGCAGAGGGGACTAATTAAAAACAGCATTTACTGTATGTACAGTATCTGTTGTCTCAAAGGCTTTTAATGTACAGTGCTGGGACTGCGTTCAATGTCACAATTTCAATGTCACTTAACAAAATGAATGGCTCTTCTATTTCAAGGGGTCCTTAGAGAAGTCACAACCCACTTCATCGTTGATGCCCGAGCCCTCAACAAGGTTGGAGGAAATCATGTGAAAGTACACATCATCAGTCCGTCTGGCACCAATACTGACAGCTACATCACTGATAAGGGAGACGGCACTTACCGAGTGGAGTATACAGCATTCGAGGACGGTAGGAAAAAAAAAAAAAAACACAACACATAGCACGTCATTTATCTTTGGAAAGCCGTGTGATTAGGGAATCAAGAATGATGTATCTAAGAGGCTTAAGTGGCAACATTTACAAAACTACTTTTTTTTTTTTTTATTTATTTATCGGCTGTCACTAAACAGACAATTCCACATAGACCGGATGAATAAAAGAGCGCACACAGACAGACACAGAAATCACTAACAGTTACTTGTGTGAGGCGCCATTTGGGAAAAGAGCAGAGGAGTGAGAAAAGAGAAGCTGAGAGAGAGAGAGAAAGGGGTAAAAATACAGAGTGATGCAGTGAAGCAACGGTTTAAGAGAAGGGGGAGGGGGACAGGGAGAGGGAGAGGGAGGGTGTAAGGCAGGCAGACAAGCTCTGTTTTATAAATAGTGTCTCTGGAACAGAAGCTCTTAACCAGGCAGGTATGTGTGCTGAAGGCTGCCTGATCGCAGCAGTATCATAGCGTGAATGACAGGGGATATTAATAGGGACAAAGCTAAGAAATCACAGAGCATTTTTTAACACCAGACATGCTCTAATATCATAGAGTCACTGGGAATCTGGCATACAGGCCCAAAGAGAGGACTCTTTCAGAAAAATGCTGTAACAGAATAATGAATAGAGAACAGATGCAATTTTTTTTTTTTTTGTACGTTTACCAGAACGCACCCATTAGAAGGAACTGTTTATAGAAGAACAGATGTTTGTCTCCCTTAAAGGGAATTTTTCCGTCCTACAATTAGAGCCAGTTGCTAATATTAGAACATATATATTGATTTTGATAAAACAAACAAACTGACTGAGTCTGCTTGGATGTAGGAATACATCTGGTAGAGGTGCTGTACGATGACGCTCCCGTACCTAAGAGTCCCTTCAGAGTATCTGTGGTAGAGGGATGCGATCCAACCCGGGTTCGTGCCTATGGGCCAGGTCTGGAGGGAGGAATAACTAACAAATCCAATAGTTTTACAGTGGAGACCAGGTACCTTTGGAATTTCATTTAAATCAGACATTGCTGATCTGGAATTTGTGAATAATGTTATTAATCTGTGGCTTTTCCTCTCAGGGGCGCAGGTACAGGAGGCCTCGGCCTGACCATCGAGGGAGCTTCGGAGGCAAAAATCTCATGCAAAGACAATAAAGATGGCAGCTGCAGTGTTGAATACGTGCCATACACTCCGGGAGATTACGATGTCAACATCAACTATGGAGGTCACCCAATCCCTGGCAGTCCATTCCGTGTGCCAGTGAAAGACCCTGTGGACCCCAGCAAAGTGAAGTGCACAGGTCCAGGTCTAGGTACCGGGGTGAGAGCCCATATTCCACAGACCTTTACAGTAGACTCTACTCAGGCGGGACAGGCCCCACTGGACGTCAAACTCTATGGCCCAACAGGTGAGGACAATCTGGACAACAGCTGAAATCCCATTAACGTCTTCAAACGTGTACTTATATTAGTGAGTTTATTTCTACTGTGTCTAATTCCTAGGTACTGTGGAGCCACTAGGTGTGAAAAACAATGGCGACGGAACTCACACAGTTCATTACACTCCAGCACAGGATGGACCGTACACCGTAGCGGTCAAGTATGCAGACCAGGAAGTACCTCACAGGTAGAGTAAGAGTTGTTAGAAACCTCTGAGCCAAGCAGTAGGTGCTGATATATCTTAATTAAAGTCTTGGCCAGGGAAGGGAAGTGTTGCCTGAGTACACTTGCTGTGTCTTCTTCAGTAATTACATTCCATGATTGTGCTGTCCTTTCTCCTCAGTCCATTCAAGGTAATGTCTAAGCCTGGGCACGATGCCAGTAAGGTGCGTGCCAGTGGCCCTGGTTTGGACACCAAAGGTGTGTCTGCTAGTCTGCCTGTCGAGTTCACAATTGATGCACGTGATGCGGGAGAAGGACTCCTCACAGTGCAGATTCTGGTGAGTTCAGCTCCACTCGGCCCAAGACTCATAAATAATTGACTCTTGAGTTGTCAAATAAGACAAGTGTCTACGTCTTTTCCCTGACAGGACCCAGAAGGCAAACCAAAGAATGCAACAATCCAGGACAACAGAGACGGCACCTACACTGTATCATATGTGCCCGACTCCACTGGGCTCTACACCATCACTATTAAATATGGTGGAGATGAGATTCCTTATTCTCCATACCGTATTCAGTCCCTGCCAACAGGAGATGCAAGCAAATGTCTTCTCACTGGTGAGGTCAACAGTACTACTACAGATCCATGATGAATCACTGTTTTATTTATGGATAGGAAAATACACTTGTTTATTTATCACTCGTCTTCTTTCATCCAGTTTCCATTGGAGGACACGGCGTGTGTAAGTAATGCAGCCTTCCTTGAATTGTTCCTATGTGAAGTAAAGCTGCATTTATGCAGTGTTCTTTTTTAACTGCTCTCCATTTCTGTCCTTGACAGCGAATCTCCAGAAACTGCAGACCTCTGAGGATACAGTCATCACAGTGGATGCTAAGGCTGCTGGGAAAGGCAAGGTGACCTGTAAAGTGCTGACCCCACAGGGAGTGGAGCTGGACATGGATGTAGTGGAGAATCGTGATGGGACCTTTGACATTTACTATACAGCCCCGGAACCAGGGAAATATGTAATCACCATCCGCTTCGGGGGGCAGAACATCCCCAAGAGCCCCTTTCACGTTGTGGTGAGTAAAAGTGGTGAGCTTAGTGCTTTGTTGTCGTTAATTGTTTCCATGAAGCTAATTATTTCTCTTCTCTCTGTAATGGCAGGCCACAAACGAACCGGTGGCCCCCCGTGACACAGTGGATCCTCTGTTCCGTCCTCTTAATTTTCTGGTCCCCTTCACACCTCAGCAGGGTGAAATCTCAGGTGTGACATAATTGTTCACTGCAGTGTGTCCTACACAACACATGCCGCACAACACATTGTTTAGGTCACTGATGTTCAACCATGTCACTATCATTTCCAGGTGAGGTGCGAATGCCTTCAGGCAAGACTGGCCGCCCTCATATCACTGACAACAACGACGGCACCATCACAATCAAGTACCAGCCCACAGAGAGAGGCCTGCATGTGATGGATATCAAATATGATGGCAACCACATCCCAGGTCTGAAACCCGCCACATCGTATTGACAACATGTGGTTGTCATCTTAGGAGACGACCATGATTCATTTTTATGCTAAACGGAAAAAAGAAAAACTCACACAGAGGAAGAACCTTTTTGAATCATAATTGTTTTGCAATGATTATATATCCCCCTAGGAAGCCCTCTTCAGTTCTATGTAGATGCTGTGAACAGTGGAGTGGTGACAGCCTATGGTCCAGGTTTGAGTTACGGCACGGTCAACAAGGCTGCCACATTCACTGTGGTCACACAGAATGCAGGAGAAGGTAAGGGAGCTACAGGACTGTGGATGTATGATAATGACAACAACCTTTATCCAAAATTTACAACACCACAGGGCAGACAGAGAAGACAATAAGAATATGTATTCCTGCCTCAGGTGGTCTGTCACTGGCAGTAGAGGGTCCCTCCAAGGCTGAGATCACCTGTAAGGACAACAAAGACGGTACCTGCACTGTTTCCTACTTGCCCACAGCTCCAGGAGACTACAATATCATCGTCAAGTTTGACAACAAGCACATTCCTGGCAGTCCATTCACTGCTAAAATCACGGGTGAGTATATACACTGTACACGCAGAGACTTTTCTAGGCATCATTTTTGCCTTTGGTAGAGTATGCTAGCATGCGTTGTTAAATTAATTTTTTCCTAAAGAAGTGCCATAAAAAATACATGTCATAACAGACACTTAGTCGGGGGTAAATTAGTGCAAAAACGCAGAAGTCAGGCTGCCACGGCTTGGGTACCATTCGTCATGACATAACGCAAACTACACCCTATATCATTGTACATTTAACACAGTTACAGTTTCATCAAAAAGGATCTTTAAGTTGTGTCACATGAGACCAACAAGGGTGACTATAAAGATTTATATCCTTAATTATCCCTTTTCTCCTGTGAGCTCATTCTAAGCCCTTCCCTTCACCCCTCTCCTTGTTGTCAGTAATCACAGTGTATGAATGGCTGCACTTTAATGGACATTCTTGTGTTTTAATATTTATTTACTTATTTCAGCTGTTTTAGTCTGTATGTCCCTGTTCTACGGTGGTGTACGGCACCGTGTTTTCAACTTGGTTGCTTTTAAATGTGCCCAACGAATAAAACTGCATTAGATTGGATTACTTTTATTGGCCGCTAACATCTTTTGAGTTGCACAATTGCCACTTAGTGGGTTAGTTTTCCACTAGGAAAAACCCAGGAAATTAAAAAAAAAAAAAGAAACTACATGCAGGGGGCGCAACATGACTGAAGAAAAAAATCGCTGTCATACACTTTTGGTGTACTATTTAAATGACTTAAAACTTTTGACTGATTTTATGTTTTGAGTTTTACAAAATCATGAACACTCATGCCTGACATGTATCTAAACGATGCTTTTTTTCTGTCTAGGGGATGATTCAATAACCAGGACGTCTCTATTGAACGTGGGCACAGCAGCTGATGTGTCTCTGAAGATCTCAGAGACTGATCTGAGCTCTCTGACTGCCAGTGTGAGAGCGCCTTCAGGCAACGAGGAACCCTGCCTACTCAAGAGACTACCCAACAGACACCTCGGTGAGATACCGTTAGATTTATGTCACACATTAATTGGATTTTCATTTCACTTCATCTACTTATTACATATTTCGCCCCTCACTCTGCTCTTGCGTTCACAGGCATCTCCTTCACCCCTAAGGAGGTTGGCGAGCACGAAGTAAGTGTGAGGAAGAATGGCTTGCACGTAGCTAACAGCCCTTTCAAGATCATGGTGGGACAGTCAGAGATTGGCGAGGCCAGCAGGGTCAAGGCCTTTGGTAAAGGTCTGGTGGAAGCACACACTTTTGAAATGGCTGAATTCTTTGTGGACACGAGGAATGCAGGTAAGGTACCTTGCAAAACTATGATGTACAGAATTTACAAATTTACTTTTTAAACAGTTGTTTAAAGGGTTGTAAAATGTTTTTTTTTTTTTTTTAGGTTATGGAGGTCTTGCGTTGTCGATCGAGGGTCCGAGTAAAGTAGATATCAACTGTGAAGATGTGGAGGACGGGACTTGCAGAGTCACCTACTGTCCAACCGAACCTGGAAATTACACTGTTAATATTAAGTTTGCTGAAAAACACATTCCAGGTAAGAATTTGTACAGTAACTTTTTTTAAGAAAGTTTAAGAAAGACAGATATGTATATTTTACTTTACTCGAGACTATATGCTCTGCACTCTTGTCACGTAGGGAGCCCTTTCACAGTGAAGGTGACAGGAGAAGGAAGGATTAAAGAGAGTATTACTAGAAAGAGACAGGCATCCTCCATTGCCTCAGTAGGCAGCACATGTGGCCTAAACCTCAAGATTCCAGGTGAGAAAGAAGCTGTGCAGGAGTTGAGAGAGCTGCAGGCAAACTGCTTGAAATAAATGGAGCATCTTTACACTCACATTTGTATACGTGCTGCTTTCTCCCTCTGCCAGGAAACTGGTTTCAGATGGTTTCAGCTCAGGAAAGACTGACCAGGACGTTCACCCGTAGCAGCCACACCTACACTCGCACCGAGCGCACGGAGATCAGCAAAATCCGTGGTGGAGAGACTAAGAGGGAGGTACGGGTGGAGGAGAGCACACAGGTGGGAGGAAAAGGAAGCCCATTCAGGGATGTTTTTGGAGACTTCCTGGGCAGAGAGAGCCTCAGCAGCTTCGCTGGCATCCCCGCCAGACCTGAGGGTGAGGGTTCAAATCTGGATCTATCCGTTTTGAATAGCAAATACACTTTGAGGATTAAATTTAATTTTTTTGTTTCGCTGCACATCCAGTTGAAAGTGGCTCCCAGGCAATGACAGCTCAGGTGACCAGCCCCAGTGGAAAAACTGTGGATGCCGACATCATGGATGGAGGGAGCAACACATACAGCGTCCGCTTCATCCCACAGGAAATGGGACCCCACACAGTCAATGTCAAATACAGGGGGCAGCATGTCCCCGGGAGCCCCTTCCAGTTTACTGTTGGGCCCATGGGGGAGGGAGGAGCACACAAGGTCAGGGCAGGAGGACCTGGACTCCAGAGGGGTGTGGCTGGAGCCCCAAGTAAGTTCACAGTCTTGAAATATGTTGAAGTTAGTATTATTTATTAATTTATAATTTCTTCCAAATCTAACTTAGCAATATCCCTAATGTGTATCCTCAAAAAATCATTGTTACCTACCATTATTTCCACCTAACGTAAACCAATTTTACTATTATTATCATCATCATCACTCTCTTGTTTTAACTTCATCAGCTGAATTCAGTATTTGGACCAGAGAGGCCGGCGCTGGTGGACTGTCTATTGCTGTAGAGGGCCCTAGTAAGGCTGAAATCTCCTTTGAGGACAGGAAGGACGGCTCTTGCGGAGTCTCCTACATAGTGAAAGAACCAGGTATAAATCTCTGACAAGGACAATTTCAGAATGCACAACTATGTCTCCAACGGCTGTGAACTAGTACTTCAGCAGTTCTCGCTGTACTTCCTGCAGTCGCTACGGTAGTGAAAAGTAAACAACCTCTCTGAATCCCCAGGTGACTACGAGGTGTCAATCAAGTTCAACAATGAGCACATCCCCGACAGCCCGTTCATCGTCCCCATTGCTACGCTGTCGGATGAGGCCCGCAGGCTCACCGTGACGAGTCTGCATGTAAGCATGCACGCACGAAATTAAGAAAACAAAAAAAAAACAAAACAAAACAAAAAACACAACACATTTTGATGCAGGATAAACAAAGGGAAAAATTAAAAGCGATTGTTGATCATTCATTTTTAGCATTCTTCACACACGATTTGATGGCCAAGTTGGGAACAACAGCAAAGGCTGGATATAGTGATGCTGGCCGGCAGTGAGGGTTGGATTAACTGTTCCCTGCCAATATGGGTCAGCACAAGCTGTGCAGTGTGTAGTCAGTCAGTAGCATTGTGTTTCAGTGTGAGAGAAAGAGAGAAGCGAGTGTAGGAAGATAAAGATACCTGCGACAGTCCACATTGTTGCTGTCCTCCCCTGGCAGAAGCTTGTTTTATTTGCTTTCAGCGCTTCCATCACAGCTGCCAACGATGCCAAAACACATGTATTTAGTTCACCGCAGTGCCAATTCGGAGCGCTTTTGTTCTACACTAAAACAACCAGGTGAAGTGCAACATCAAACCAAACATTTTAAAATGTCACTCTGCCTCTCGTAGCTGCAACAAACGCGTATCGACCTGTAGGGAGAATCTCTAAACGCCTCGTTGTAAACTTTGACCTTTTCTGCCTCTCATACGAAACCACTCCATCTATTCTCGTTCAGGCCGGATGAGTCACATGCTTTGTGTCCCTGAGAGTACTGGCACTCGTCCACGCACACTCTAACATAATGCACTTCAGGGTGGGCTGATGATATTTCTCCCCGTGTTATACAGGAGAAAGACCTGAAGGTAAACCAGGAAGCATCCTTCATGGTTCAGCGAAATGGGGCAAGAGGTGTGGTTGATGCAAAAGTCCACACACCCTCCGGCTCTTCTGAGGAGTGCTACGTCACTGAACTAGACAGCGGTATGCACCAGAAAGTACAGCACAGAATACTCATGTAGCTGTACGAATACTGTTGCATTTGCATAACCTTCGTCCTTTTTCGTTTCGGCGTTTCAGACAAGAGCGCAATCCGCTTTATTCCACGGGAGAATGGCGTTCACTCAATAGATGTTAAGTTCAATGGGTGCCACATTCCTGGAAGCCCCTTTAATGTGCGGGTTGGAGATCCAGGCCTAATTGGAGACCCAGGAATGGTGACTGCACATGGACCTGGACTTCAGGGAGGAACTACAGGTTTGATGTTGGATCTTTGTTTTATGAATTTGTTGTATTAAACGATGATTTATGTCCAAACACTTTAGCTTTTCTATTTATCATTAAATTCTTGTGTTGAGAGTTGAATAAAAATCTCAAATTTAAAAAAAGGGTTATTTCACCATCTGTTTTCCTCCCACTCCGTCTCGTTGTCTTACAGGCGTGGCTACGGAGTTTGTCATCAACACCTGTAATGCAGGCTCAGGCACTCTGTCTGTCAACATCGACGGTCCATCCAAGGTTAAGATGGACTGTCGGGAGTGTCCCGAAGGCTACAAAATCACCTACACACCAATGGCACCTGGCAACTATCTCATCACCATCAAATACGGCGGGCCGCAGCACATCGTGGGCAGCCCTTTCAAAGCTAAAATCACAGGTTGGCTTCACAGTCGTTCTCCCATCTGATCTGTGGATCACAGATGACAAGTGTCTCACTCGCGGAACAAATGTCCTTCTGAGTAAAGTGTGGAAGTCAGGAGAATTTTGAGTCATCTGGGTTTATACTGCTCAGTGTACATTTCCTGTGGAGACTGCATTTTCCAGCCCCTGCAGTGATAAATACTGACGTCTTGCTGCATCAAAATTGTATTTTACAAATTTGTTATGTTCCCCGGAAATGCATAGAAAAGTTTACTTGTATTTTTCGGTGAGCTGAAACACGACGACTGTCCATAGTTGACACTTTTCCTGTAGAGAACAATTTTCTCACTGAAAATCGCAGTGACTGCAGTGCTCTTCCGGAGAGTAGACAGAGTAAAGAGGACTTGGGTGGTTTTCTTCAAAGCAATTCATACACAAAAGGCCAGACAGGTGGACTTCCTTTATGCTCCGAGGGAGTATTGACCTGAATGATCAACCCTCCACAGATGCTTCTTTTCCTCTCTAATTTATTGGTCCTTGTCTTGGTTCTGTAATTAATGTTCTCACTGTGTCTTCTTTTCATCTTCAGGCGTCCGACTCTCAGGGGGGCACAGTCTCCACGAGACTTCATCTGTTTTGGTGGAAACAGTTACCAAGTCTTCCAAGGTGGGAGGTGCTTACAGCGCCTCCTCCACCTCCAGCTCAACGAAGCTGTCATCTGACGCCAGCAAAGTGGTGTGTCGCGGAGCGGGTCTGTCTAAGGCTATGATTGGACAGAAAAACAATTTTACAGTCGACTGCAGCAAAGCAGGTGAGGAAGTCGTGCATGTGAGACAGATACCTTCGACAAGAGTATAAATCTGCGGACTGTGAAATCAGTACAAAAGTTCACACTCATTAAATCCCCCTCTCGCTGTTCCGTCTAGGTACCAACATGCTGATGGTGGGCGTACATGGGCCGCAAGCTCCGTGCGAGGAGGTGTACGTCAAACACATGGGCAACAAGCTCTACAACGTCACCTACACCGTCAAGGACAAGGGCAGCTACACTGTCATTGTCAAGTGGGGTGATGACAACGTCCCTGGGAGCCCCTACAAAGTCGCTGTACCCTAAAATAACTCGCCCATTGTTCCGTCTCTCACTCCACCCGCCCCCTTCAGCTTTTACTTATCACGTGCACGCATCAAAATACCCAGAACGTTGCTCTCCGGTGGATCCAACTTTACTAAAGCATTTGATTACAGTTTTGCTGATGAAACAGTAACTGTGGTGCCAAAGATTCTTTTTTTGTTTTGTTAATTAACTCTAATTTTGACATTCTAAGAATGCAGTCATCTTCAAAGTCATGCCAAGGCAACCTTACGTGATTTATAAGCCTAAGGGTGATGTTGGTTAAATGTTTTTTTTTTCTTGGTCCATTAAGTTTCTCCTTTCCATTTTTGTTGTGTTGTAAACAAAAAAAAAACAACAAAAAAACAACTTATATATGAATGCTGATAAATGTTGGAATAGTCAGCAGCGGATATGTGTGTGATGCATTATGGTTTTGTATGGTTTAAGCGTTGAGAAAAGTGGCTTTTTTTTTTGTTATATTAACCTATTTTTGGTAAGTCTTTGCAGACTTAATAAAGATTTTACTGCTTCCTACCAAATGAAAGTGACTGAGTTTGTTGATGTGTCACTCTGCTGGTTCAGCACACACCTTCGTTCAATCACTCGCACAAACACACACACACACACACACACACACAGAGGCATTCACAAAGTTACTTAAAGCAGTAAACCGAAGGGAGTGCCTCACTGATGCTTTAACAACCTTTATATAAAAAAACTGAAAGCACAGAAACAAGCAACAAGCAATCTCCCCAAATAAATACTTTATCTATACAACATTTCCAGGGATACTTCGTCGTTTGGAAGCTCGCATGAAGCTAGTTGTAACATAACTAATACTGTTACAATACCAATCCAAACGTGCATTTTTAAACGCGTTACCTGCATTCTTTATCAACCTGCTACTAGAAAGATATCAACAATGGTACGACTACAGTATGTAGGAGTAGGTGTCCTCTGTTGCCCACACTCAACATACATTATTGAAGACTTAGACACTGAAACTGTAAAATAACTCAACTTTTTCCCATAATGTCTTCATGAATCTCGAAGCAGTGGTTTTCCATTCCAACTCACATAATGAATCTCGAAGCAGTGGTTTTCCATTCAAACTCACATAACATACCCTCCCATATATCTTCATGTGTTTCTAAAAGTTCCAAACTTGTTTTTTTTTTCATGTTTCTGAACACTTGCGTCCTATATTGAAGGCTCTCCACTGGGTTAAATTCCCTAAATTCCCATACGCCATTTATACCAATCAGCCATCAGGTTGCATATAAAAAAACTCTTAACTGACTCATTTGCATCTTCCACGTGGCCTAATGCAATCACAAGATGGCAGCAAAGTCAAGCTTCCGCTGTGCGTCCACGTCTCAACCAAATGCACCACAACAAAATAGCCGTTGTTCTACGTGAAGATTAACTGCAGCGTGCTCAACACTGGGGAGCCTGCAGCGCACTGAAACCAGAGGCATCAGCTTCCATTGTGTGTGTGTAATTAATCCTGTTGTATAAGAGATGGAGCACCAGTGGTTTCTGTTGTGGCATCATCATGGGGGGGTAAGAGGGTGGTGGGTGGAGACCCTGCTGAGGCACATATCAACCACAGAGTGGGGAGGTTGAGCTTTTTGCTTGTCGGCCTTTATGTGTGTGTGTTTAATCAATTGTGTCTCCACCACAGCCTGAGTGTGTGTGTGTGTGTGTGTGCGTCCTCTGCGTGGTCTAGTCCTTGGTCCCTCAGTGAGTCAACCAGCCAGCCTCCACACACCACACTGACACACACCACCGAGCACCAGCTCCATTCTTCATGGAGAAGAGACTATAATTAGGTGCTAATTTTTGCTAGTTCCACTGTGACATGATGCTAGGGGCCACGGCCAGGCAAGACAGGGCGAGTGGGCGCATTTGATGAACAGTGGTAAGAGCTCGACTCCGGACCATCTGGCCAAGTGGCTGGCACTGGTGGACTGACGTTAGGACCAGTGTACGGCCCACCCACGTCAGTCTGTCCACCCTTTCCTGCTCCTCCAGACCAGGACTCGGGCGTCTGTCCGCCGCAACATGTTTATTTACAGTGGCCGCCAAGTGAATCACAAGATTCAGCGCCTGTCTGTGCAGACAGCAGCAAACAAGAAAGTAGACAGAGGGGGAGTCGTAGAGCGATGCCGTGGTGGTCTGAGGAGGATTAGAGGGAAAAGGATGGGATCACAAGAATTGAGAATGAAAAAACAGAAACAGACAGGGACAGGGGAAAAAAAAACAAAAAGACAGAGACAGAGACACGGGAAGACATTTGAATTGGAGAGAAGTTGACGTCACTGAATTTAGATCACTCTGCTGCAGGCTAATTTAAAATGTGCTATTTCATTGACAACATGCTAATACGGTGTATATTTTAACCTTCAAAGCAACCATGAACGTTGGACTTCCCTACATTTTTCCAAAATATTCTGATGTGAGTATTCAACATTTTGTTCCACTTATTCTTATTATATTTAAATATATATTATATTTAAATATAATATAATACATATATATTCTTATTAAGTCTAAACAGACATTTATTTTTAACATTAATAACTTAGCCAAATGCTAATGCTCACACTTTCCAAACCCCTGATAACTACTCAAAGCTGCACACTACTGTATAGCACCTTCATGGCATTCTCTTTCCGACAGGGCAAACAACATCAGCAGCTCGGAGTCAATGTGTTTCCCAGGAACAAACCAGCCTGTAAGCCTGTTGCCAAACCTTTATAAATAAAAGATCACAGGTCTCAGTCTATTTAAGGTCAGACTTTGCTTTAGCCATAGGAGAGAAGAATTACTGCTGACACACCGCTTTTTTCACATTTCTCTAGAACAGATCATCCACACGTGTGCTTGGAGAGGTCCCTCACTCTGTACGCCTTTCCTGGCACAGCCCCGTGCTGCCCTACGGCTGGACGTAATGATGAGCAACTCGGGGTTAAACGTCTTGGACAGGAACACATAAGCAAGCAGCTGGGATTGATCTGCCAACCTTCTGGTTGAAAGGATCTCTTTCAACTGGGGTCATCTAATCCACACGTGACACCACACCATTTGTCAGTACCACACAGACCAAGTAACAGTACAAAAAAGAAGTACAAAGTACTACTTTGGTATTGACATCATGATTCCGTACATTTTCGGACAAAAAGAATGTGAAGTAACAAAAATATATATGAATATATACTGTATCGATATAATATATATCTAAATACTGTATGTGTATATATAAAGCATATGTATATATGCATATATATAGTGTACGCATACACTGCATGCATGCACATATATAATGAATATATATATTTAGAAACATACTTTTCATACATAAATGCATGAAATATGAACTCCTACAAGTCATTAGTCCCTGCTTTTAGCCACTTTGTGTTCAGACTACCTGCACAAGTGCAAATCAATATGTCATTATATCATATACTCAGAAGCTACGATGACCCTGGCACTCTGATACTGTAATTACAAAAAAAAATCATGCTTTTTAAAAAACATTTTAAGACGCGTTTCCCAGGCCTCTTCAACAGTTTTGACAGGTTTTCTCATTTGTATTTACGTAAAACGTTCAGCTGTGTTAATTGTTATTTCCTCAGGTTTTTCAACCTTAATGAAAAAAAATTACTTCAGAGAAACCTGTTACAATATTAAAAGGTTTGCAACAGGTTTTGGTCGAGCTCAGTCTCTACTAAGTTTTTCTTTACAAATAGATGAGTGAAAGGAACCTGTCATCCTCCAGACTTTGTCTGGTGAAAATTCTAGCAGAGGTTTTTAGACGTTAATGTAGGATACACAGAGAAAAGGCTCTTATTTATGTATTGGTATATTGGTACTGGCAGTGACGCAGCTACTATAAGCTGTATGTTAAAAACTCATTTAAACTATATCTAGAAACTGATGGTTCTCCCAAACTGTTCTCCCGTGGGTCATTGGACAGTTAGCTGGTGTCAGACCCCTGACTAAAGATGTCCTAAAACTCCCTCCACGGTCACCAGCTGCCCTTCCCATTAACTTCACAGCTGTGGTAGTAGAAGCTGTGGCTGGCAGTGGCGAAGACTAGTGGTCCCACTGGTCTCCATTAGGTCCAGTATTCAGAATTATGATTAATTAAATCAGTAATTATCACTAAATTGGTTCTATCTGGCCCTCTCTAACTTACACACACACACATATTCACAAAATCCACTCCTTAGCCTTCACCCTTACCTTAACCTCACCTTAGACCTTGATTATATGCCTAATCCTAACGCTTATTCTAACTCCGACTTTGAACTGTTATTTATCTTATTGGAGACAGGTAAGGATAATATGTCCCCACAATTATAGCTAGAGCAAAACTACACAGAGAGAGAGAGAGAGAGAGAGAGAAAGAGAGGTGTAAGTGTTGTAGAGGCATGGCAAGCTAGTGCTCTGGGGGCAAAAATCTCATTCTCTGGTTCGGCTCGATCATGCTGACTCCTGTTCCCTTTCTCTCTGTCTCCATCTACACTGATCAAACCTCCTTGTTTCTCTACCTCTCTCTCTCCCCTTTTCTCTCTTAATCTATCTTGCCCACCCTTCCCCCAACGTAATTTCTCCTCTCTCTCACTAAATTCCAATCAATCCAAGCCCCGGCAGAGCCAGGGCTTTATTTCTCGTCTCACTTTTGTCACCGCGAGCCTCGTCCCCGGGCCTGATTCTCCAACCTCTGACCTTTATTTATCACTTCAGACTGTAGAAGAAATCCGTACAGACAGACAGAAGGCAGTCATGGCTCCTGAGGCGAAGAATTATGCGAAAGCTAACTGAAAATAAAACAACAAAAACCAAAATCTTCCATGGCTGAGTAAACAGACAATGAACAGCTAAACCAATATTTGCGCAAACAAATGGCTGCTCTGTCGGATTAATGAATGGACATGTGGAGAGAGCGGAGGCAGGAATTGGAGTAGGAATTCATCCATTCCGTTTCCATCCAAGCCCCGAGGCCTTGCTATGTAATTGCTTCATGCATAGTTGATCCACTGCATAATCAACCGACTACACTACTTTTTCCTTTTTTACTCCGTGCCACATACATTTGCAGGCCGCTGGTGAAGTTAAGTTTCCATGGGAAGCCCCTCATGGAGGTGGCTCATTCATATCCGAATGCTCATCAGTCTGCTTTGGAATACAGAAGCACACGTTAGCAGCCAACACTATGCTGTCCTGAGGTTAAGGAAGGACCACGCGGTGTTTTATTCATATAGAACAAAGATGAAAAATTCATGCTGCGGTGTAGTAGTTATGCTCTACTCTGTCTTTTAGCCTTCTGTACAACACTCGGATTAAATATCTGTTGAATGACGGCCATACATTGGTCGCCATCACATACCGTGGTCGTGTGTAAAACAATGCAACTGCGGGGAAACAGTTCCCTCGGGGCCGCAGCATGCAAATGCACTAAGCTGCTGCAGCCGACTCGTACTGTGCAGACACTGCGCTGGACCTGCCGCAGTACATGAAGGTATGGA